AATGAAGATTTGGAGTAACAATCCTTCACCTGTTCAGCTTTCTCTTCTTCACCTTGTGTAGTTTCGCTTCTTCTCTTGTGTATTACCGAAAGCAGGTCAACAGCACCTAATCAATCCAGTTCAATCCACATTTTTCTTGTTTTCGAGCCACGCCGTTGGCACTTTCTGTGCCAATTTGGTCCAACTATCTGCTCGCATAAGTGGAAGATTTGTACGGGCTCAGCTCTCGATCAAAAGGCCTTGTACTACTTCATATTTTGTAACATTTTGTGGCTGTGAAGCCGATTACGCCACGCCTGCTTTTGGTTCAGAAGAATATGATTCGTGGGTCAACCTAACGACATCGGTGGATTTTCAGAACGTTTATCCAACTTTTCCTATCTACTACATGTCAAAGAGATGACGAACACTCAGTTACGCACATGACTTTACTAGTTACGTGTAAATAAAGTATTTCTATCTACTTTTTTATGTTTCAAAGTACCTCTCTTCATTTTTGCGTTCATTCATTATCTGCTTGACGTGATGTTATCAATTTCTTAATCTCCTCTCAGGAAATCCTACGTTGTTTTCATGATTGAATCATTAATATGTTTTTGTTTGCATCCTTTGATGTGCTCTTAATTATGTGCTTTAAAATGAGTTCGTTAGTGGTTAGAAAAAAGAGACGTGCAGTTCTGGTAATAACGATAAAGGTACTGGTTAATGTACTAGGATGCATTACAGCTCATATCGGGTTATGATGGTGTGACTTGTATCTTCGCTTATTCAATTCTATTTTCGCAATGTAAAGTCCTAAACAAATAACCCATATAAGAACAATTCAGGATGTTGCTAAAATGGCTCGTCGTTCTTCCGTTGTCATTAGCTGCGATTTGTCCATTACAAAGACATCAAGTTTGTAATGTAAGGAATGCTGAACTTCGTCATCTTATTGACAATCAACATCAGTGTACTTGTGCAATTACGCAAGTATCGGTATGGCATCAAGTTTCATTCATCAAACACATTCTGACCAAAAAAAGAGATTCCACAGCAGCCGATATCCATCATTTTGTCATATATCAGTAGAAAATGAGTTATTCATTATTGTTATTTCATTATTCACAAGTTATTTATCTATTTGTTAGTCCCACGTGTATCATAATGGTCAGAAGGGCCCTTCAATACACACGGCATCGATCCCGGCGCCCCAGACTCACCAAGCCATCCATCCCTCCGGGATCGGCAAATTCCTACTAGACTTTGTCTGGGAGGAGGATAGGAGCACTGGCCCGATACATCGGTACGCTACCACGAGTAGGCCAGATTTGCATTCACCTCCAAATGATGCTTAATGAAGTTGAATGCATGGCGCATACCTCAGCGATTGGTCAACGCCGGGAGCTTTATCCTTTGTCCTTTCTATTGTTGATATATTTCTATACAATCTCTTGGAAGCAACTGTAATCTCCATTTTTATCCAAGCTGCACTGTGGCAAACACTAAGAAACGAAACCGACAAAGATTCTTCCAACGTAGCTCATATTAAGCATGGAACCTGATTTATTACTAGAGTGTGTTTTTCACCACAATGTGCTTTAATCTACTAATTTATCTTCTTAATCCTCAAGTGTCGAAAATAAGCTCTGTGTTTGTGGAGTAGTCGAGAAATCGTATTCAGTTTGTATTCATGGAGTGAAAATTAGTGTTGCCCTCTGTCATTTCTTTCCCAAACACTTCTGTTCATACCTGACAAGTAATATAATCACTTACATCACCTGTTCTACCATTAAACATCCAGTGAATCAAACCGGGTCTTTGCCATCTGTCATAGCTTCCCAGTGACTTTGACTTTCTCAAGTTACTCAAGGAGTGCCACATTTTTTTTTTGTGCCAGTGAGTAAGAATGACCATGGTTTTCGTGGTGATCGTGCTATTGTAACTTTTATATCTCATAGGAATAAGTCTCTAATGCTTACCTGATTTTCGACATTTCGGCGATCACAATAGCTTATCCCTTATCCCTCAGTTTGAGCTGGATGTTCCTAATCGTTTTTCATTTCCATGAAATGAAGCAGGTGGAGTATTTTGGCATAGTATTCTATATCATTGCCAACACACTGACCTTCCCTACTCATCGATCAGATCTTGGGGAAGTTAGGGTAGAAAAAACAGTGAATCCAAAATGTGCACAGAGTCAGATGTTCAATGGTTTTCCAAATAGTTTTATGTTCTCATGAGTTCTTCGAGTTACTTGTACCCATCTAAACTGTTTCTATCCTGCAGCTACCCATTCCTCGTGTTGACCTCCGAATTTAAGAATACATTCCTGGAATGTTCGGAAATATTATTTCTGCTGAATATAAATGAGCAATCAGAGGCGAGTTTTCTTCCCTTAAGCATATTGTTTCTTTACGGCCAACCAAAACTCTATTTATTTCATTGGATTGAAACTGGCAAGAATTATTTTATTCTGCATAATACTCGATGTTCCTCCCAACGTTTTAGGCCTCATCGTGGCTGGTAGGTATTCCTGGGTGTCGGGTTGCGATGTGCAGTGGGCGATTCATCACCCAGGTAGGGTCTCCCAAGCTGAGAAGGAACCCTTCGTTTTCACCAGGAAGCCCAGATAAGAGTAAACCAATACCAGGATCTGTCACCGTCCTGGTAAAAAACCATCATGGTGGGTGGGAGATCTCCTTCTGATCCACAAGGACGGCGACTGCCTGTAGTGGTGACGACTTTGGGACAGACTTTGGCCAGGTTGACTTCGGGACTCTAGGGTAACACAATAGCTAAACCAGAAAAAACTCCGGAAAATGAAGGACACATTGCTGAACATGCTGGGGCCTGCGCAATCAGTGAGAAAAGGCCGTCCAAGTATCCAAGTAATACTTGATGTTGTAAAGGAGATATCACCAATATAGTGATCATGGTATAACTGCGTTCACTGGATTTCTTTCAAATGTTGTACCATTTCAGTGCCGGCATGACGGAGTTGAGCCGAAAAAATTTTTGTGTAATGATATAACGTAACGATGCATCTTTCTAAAACGGCGATAATGCCTTCGTATTTCGATGTATGCACGCTAATATAATACTGGCTACTGTAAGATGGGTTGCCCTCATGAAGAGAGAAAATTACCAGTACGCAATTGGTTAACAACTCTCTGTGTAAAAGAGCACCTCCTGGTGAGGTCAATTGATTCGATCGGCGCCCCACTGGAGCCGACTCTATTCGATCACAAAGATCCACATCATCAGAACGAACGGTTGTGGACAATGGACTTGCTGGAATCATTGCGGCTATGCTGAAAACGAAGGCCCAGAAAGATAAGCCGCAAAAAGTCTTCAACGACCACATGTAGTCTCAAAATTTTGAGGAAAAATGATGATAATACCAATAAAGAATAGTGAAATCCTAGTTGTAAAGTTCTTAGGTAACTCATAAAGATTCTTTATGCATTCAACAACTACTTTCTGTGCTGAATTTCTGTGACCATTTCTATACCAAATGAAATAAACGGTCATGCCGTACTGCTGTGACACTTTATCGATTTCTTTTCACCATACATTACATATTGTTACCTTTGTTTAACCACTTTTTCAAACCATACCTGCTCGCGTTACTTTGCTTAGTCCAGTGCTCTCTGGACTCTGCGCAGAACGACTCGAGTGGAGGGTTTGCACTAGATGATAGCACGTAGATTAGACGATAGTTGCCAATGGTGAAAAGCTAAGATTGTGCTGACGTGTAAAACGTCAAATCGCGGTGTAGATGAGGAGAAACGGCGTATCTTCGGAAGTCATAGACTAATCGTGTGCGGAATAACTGCTATACACTTCTTCCTAGAATTTTGGATGTTCAGACTTAAGTTTATAGCTGCTTGCAGCAACTATAGTTCAATTTTCTAGAATCATAAATTATTAAGAGCACATTGGTCTTCTTAGTACCACTGTGAAAACACTGATGAGCTATTTGTATTTTTCGTTCATATTGTCGCTAACGATATCTTTCTAATAGTTGGTCGAAAACATGAACTAGGTTTCAATTTGTTATGCTTTCTTAATTGTTGATCTCTGAATTTGTGATTCTATTTCTACCATGCGACAAAAATCTGACGCGAAAGTGGCATCTGTCCGATCCCGCGCAAAGTGATGGGAAAACGCCGACTTTGATTAGGAAAAACGTCGGATTTACTCATGATGTTACCAATTTTGTTATAGTACTCCTTACTGGAAGATTACTGAGAAATGGTTTAAATAGTCACAAGGGCTGCATATCACCGTTTTGGTCCCAATGCAGTCTGTTGCCCAGATGTGCCCAGATGAACTCTTTAGACCTTTTGCTCTCACCACTTTTGGCGTTTGAGCTTTCCATAACGTAGCCTCATAAGAAGCATTATTTCCACTGAAATTCTACGTCTATACAGAATGCCTTGATACCACATTAGTAGCCTGATTTCGAGTGAGGCACTAAGAAGTTTGTTAAGACTGGTCTGGACACACATCTTTTCAACCATTCCGCTGTTGGAGTAACTGATTGTTCACTGAAGTCACCCATTCGTGACCACGTTTGTGTTGAACAGACACTTTGACAGCTTTTGTAGAGCTATAGTTTTCGAGGAATGCCTCTTCGTTTATATCATAACGGACTTTAGTGGTTCATGTTTACTCGTCGTGAAATTGGTACTGACGTTGCAGTGTACAAATCCGTCATAGGATGGACCTGCAGGCCCTCAGTGGATCGCTCCAATGGTAGCGTGAATTCTGTGCAAATCCACGTCGTCACTAAATTTTATTGTTGTTTTGAGCATTGTTGAATGACCCTGAGGTTTTAGTAGCGCCACCATACTATCTCACGCTGCCGTCCGTGGTGTTCTTTCCTAGAATATGAGCATAGGGAGCTTTAGGGACGTTTTCTTTATTTTTCCTTCAACTATAAGGTGGCACTTTTTGTTTTTATAAGCAGAAAACTATATCAATTCACAAGGCTACTGTAGAGACTAGGTAGACCACTGCCGTGGGTTCTCAGAGTAGAAGCAGGGACTATTTGCTGCAGAACTCGATGTGCCTCCCTTCTACACTGTTGCCAGATTGAAAGATTTAAAGGAGATAGACTCGCTAAAGACAATCTACCTAACGTAAGTGCAAATCCAGATAAGCATGGTTATGATTACGTGTGTAAAGAAAGTATAAGTCAATCTAGTGGACAAAGACAAGAAGTCCATCGTCTCAGTCCACATTCTAGTTGAAGAGAAAGAATATGGCGGCTTTCAGTGCCTGTTCACCCACGTAAACGCATAATGAGAAAATAGCTTTCCTCCTCGAATGAAATGCATAGAGAGGTTATTTATTAAAACATGAAATGAGTGAAGCAAATAAGCACATAAAGTTGAGTTCTTCAAGGAAGAACATAGTACGCAGTGGCTTGCCTAGTAAGAAATTCAAAAGAAGAAAACTTCGTGAAAGACTTATAGATTAAAAAGGTTGGTTTCAACTATGCCAATAAAACACACATTTAGATTTCACAGATATAATTACTGAAATACTTTTATTCTGATCAACACATTAGATGACGATTGTTTTTTAGGCACTAAACTCATCGAGATCTCATCAGATGATCGCTATTAAAGCAGTTAAATACCTAATTTAAGGATCTCCCAGCTCCCGAACAGTCGTGCTCAAATTTGATTAAACGTGAAGAAAATGGAACATTTCCTGTCATTTCGATCACGTTCAATTTAGACGAATCCCCGGAAATTGAAGAATTTCCCGAGGACTCATTTCGTGACACGATTGCCAATGCTCTACGAGTCAGCCCGGTACGATAGCCTATTATTACCTACTCACACCCTTTCTCCAAGCCTGAGAGCTTTCTCGTCTACTTTTCCCTCATAAAAAAAATATTCCTGCCGTCATGATTAAAAACGAGTCAGCCCAACCTTTAACTATATTTATTACTCCTGGATAGCAAGATTAGATGTTTTCGTTGTGCTTAAATCCTTCGAGGGTTTTTCAGTCAATATCAATACCATTAAAATTTTACCGAGCAAATTTCAGGCTGATATTCTTCTTCTGAGGGTAAGTTGTCAAGGCACTAACGGCTTTTTAACAGTACAATTTGCTGTGTTAAAAAAGGTTTGTTTTACTTTCTAAGAGTCAGTCTATTGTCTAGTTTCTTTCTTTTCAGTATGCACTTAAGAAGACGAAAGCACGGAAGAACGAAAAAATTGCAGACGATGAGACCGACGATGACTATGATGATGGTGGAGTAAATGAGAATTATGAAGAAAATGGAGCGAAAAACAATGGAGATGATGACTCTGAAGACGAAAAAGGAGACGTTGATAATGACGGCAGCATGAAATACGACGTGTCAGTGTTTGTTGATGCCGAGTCAGCAGCTGCTCGTATGAAAGCAATGGGTCATCTAAGCCAAATTGCCGATCTACAAGTCGATTCTATTGAATTTGTAAGTAGTGATAAGCTGAATCCCATTACCGCATTGTTAAAAGTAGAATTTTAAAAAATTATTACAAATATTTCACTAGTTATTTGCTTAATAGAAAATCAAGCAAAGATTAGTACGCCTGTAAAAGAATCATGGTCGCTTGACCAAAATGGATGCACTTTCTAATGTGAAGATCATACCAAATTCTTCCTTAAACAAAATCCGAAATTTATATCCTAGCTACTTAGAACGGCTTAAATTTGTCAAAAGTGCTAGGCAACAAGTATCAAAAAAAGTGCTATGATTGAATTTGAAAAAAATTGGGGGTACTGCGAAGTGGGGGACAGATCAGATGGTTGTTACTATCCTCATCAAAATGGTTTTGTTGTTGTCTTGCCTAACCGAATTCAACCAGTGGTCTAACAAATTTTAGAACCTGCTTTATCTTAGCCTCAACATTAATCAGTAATATACCATTTCCTTGGTTAGAAGGTTCGAGGCTGTTATTACATTAATCATTCAGAATAGCTGACGTTTCGGCTGTCTCGCCCTCTTCACAGTCGTCGAAAAAGCTCTCATCGTTGATGGCTGAATGCATATCTAGCCTATACAATAACTATCGTAGGACCTACCGATGCATCGAGTCTGCGCTAACAGGTCTGGTATTAATTTGCCGACTCACGAGGAATGGATGGATTGGTGATACTGGGACGTGGAATCGGTTCCATGCGTATTGCAAGTCGCCTCTAGACATTGCGCTAAAACAGCCTCTTTTTTACCTGACTTAGGCATATTCCCACCCATGTAAGACTCTGTGCGCTGGTCTTTCTAACGGCGAAGCTTCAAGGGAACAAAACGGCGAGTGTATAAAAACACTCGTTTAATATTCAATTAGAACTCGTATGAAGTACCTGAAGTGAAGTCCTTACCGGTAAGGACAACAGCGCGTGTTCGTTCCCCACTGCATACACCTGTGGTCCGGAGTTTTGCAAATATCTCAGCACTTCATACGACTTATATTTCACAACATACCCTGGCATTAAGAAGAAAAAGGCAGTAAATAAAAGAGTTAAGATTCAATTAGAGTTTACGTATTAAGTTTTATCTTCTAAGGTAATGAAAGTGTTGGGCTGAGTAGATTGCGTGTCAATTTGACCACTCCAGGCCTTGACAAAAGGGAGGCCACCGAAAAAAAAAAGGTATTGTAAGTAAATAGTGAATGGAAACCTCGTGTCTGCCCATAAAGAACACCGTTAACTAGTGCAAGATAATTCCGATTTTGCTTTAAAGATGCCGACAGTGTCACGCCGGTTAAGACCAATAGAGTTTTCGTCTTATCCTCTTTTCTCAATCCTCGTCACAGCTCAGACAAATGTCTTCAGTGTTGATTAAGCGGTAAAGCACTTTTGAATGAGGAGAATAACTTCCGCGAACAAGAACGGTGTGGTGTATCCATAGGGCTATGAAAATTTCCCAAAGACGTGTGAAAATTAGATCTTGCTAAGGCTTACAAGTGTTCTGATGACAGGTTGTCCTTATAATTCCCAAAAGATGACAATCTCTATGGTAAGATTCCATTTTTTCATGTTATTATTAGCCACTATGAAACCTTTCTTATCACTTCCGTTCGATTTCATTTAGTGATGACACACAGTGATTATTTTAAACGGCACCCACATTCCACGTCATTCTTACGGTATTCGCATTGTGATCGTCATCATTGGTATGAATCCAAGCCAAAGTTGGAGAATACCAGACATACATGAGAGGAATGAACACAGAGCCATATCGAAAAGGCTGCACTGGTAAGTAGTGCACTGGATGCACATGGACTGTAACACACACGTTGACTCTTGTTCGGTCTTGGGTCTTAACCAAACCAAGCCCTCCAATCACTGAGGTATGCAAAATGGTCTCAGAATTGTGTGCGACTGATATGATACATCTCTGAACTCCAAAAAGTCAATATAAAGGCTAGATATGCATCCACCCACCTCTATGACGGTACGAATGGGCTTGATTGCATATCTCTTCTCTTGGAGATGAAGCGATGGCGAACGCTTTGTCGATTTCGCCATGAACGAAACAACACAAGAAGTTCTATCTCGTTATTCAGTAGTATACTAATTTTGCTAAATTCGTCGACTTCGATGATCCGTATACAAGGATGTTTGTAAAACTCGTAGATAACTTCCTTTTAATTGTACAATATCGTTTCCTTCCTTAGCTTTTGACTTTCTAAAATTTTTATGAATCCAAATTATATAAATTAGCTACTATGCAGCTCTTCATATCCTTGACTTCGAAAAAAGTTATTATTTTGGTTGTGTGTAAAGGAAAATGAGAAAGAATGAGGCATCGAAGCTTGAATTTAATGTAAATGCTATGTTTCAATTTATCAGAGTTGGTCTTAATGTTTTGGCCATTGGCCATTGGCCAAAACATTAAGTCGAACTCTGATAAATTGAGACATACTACCGATACGTTCTTGATAAGATGAAAACCTACGCTTTCTTTTTCCTTTAGGAACAGCGCGTCCATGTTGATATGTCATTTCAATGCTATACATGGTTCTCTGTGAATGATAAAATTAGTGATAAATCATAATTCAGGTGTCATTGAGCGTATTTCGTACCAGTTTTCGAGACACTCATAACTCTTCTGGTTTTCGAAAACAGTTCGTAATTCCTTCGTAACTAATAGTATTCAATGTTGGGTGGCTGTTGAGAACATGATGTACTCTCAGAAGAGAGTTCAACCTATTGCTTGCTTTTAAAGTGTGCACAATTTTTTCATGAAAATAAAATTTACTTTAAAATAATCACCCGTATCATCTGTCACCTGTAGTCCCATTGATCGTCGACGACCGGTGCCAGTAAATCTTCCATTTTTCCCAGTCGCGTGCAAGAATAGTCCAGTGGGTTCTGCTCGCTCTAGTGACTCGCTGAGCATCATATCTCTCTTCAAGGCTGTTTATGAAGAACTATGACCATCGGGTTGGTGGCCTTCTTGCAGTGCGTTTAACATCCCGAGGAATCCAGCCACTAACGGCTCTTGTCCATCGGTTGTCATCCATACGCATTACGTCTCCGGCCCGCCGTATCTTCGACTGTTTAGCGTACAGAACGAGATTTTTGGTTTTTGATCGTTGACGCGCTTCGGAGCTTCGGATCGCTACCTTGTGTGAAATGGGATACTTCTAGTATCACCATTTCGACTGCGTTTCTGACGCATATGTCAGGGCAAGAAGTACCGCTGAGTCGAAATGGTGGGCACGAGCCGGGTGTTCTTTGTCTTCATCACTATACGTACGATGCTCTTGAAAGCACTCCAAGCCGCTCGTTTCCTTCTGCTGAGCTCTGGAGCTAAGTCGTTCAACAAGTTAACTTCCAGATCTAGATAGACATCACAAGCAGGCACCCGTAAATCTTCCATTTTTCCCTGTCGCGTGTAAGAGTAGCCCAGCGGGCTTTGATCGCTCTAGAAACTCGTTGAGAAACATAAATTTCTTCTAGGGTTTTAGTGATAAACTCTTGCAATCGGGTCGGTGGTTTTCCTGCAGTACGTTTGATATCCCGAAGAATACAGTCACTAGTGGCGCTTGTCTACCGGTTGTCGTTCATACGCATTACGTGTCGGACCCACCTTATCATCGACTGTTTGACGTACAGAGCGGCATATTTGATTTTTGATCGTTGACGCAGGTCGGAGGTTCGCAACCCTTCCCTTACTTGCGTGATAGGGGATACTCCTTTCATCGTCTTTTCGACTGTGCACCCAATAATACGTTAGGGCAGGAAGTACCGTTAAGTCACAAAGCTGGGCACGGAGTCGAGTGTGCTTTATTCTCCTCACTACTTCTTCGATGTTCTTGAAAGCTTCCCAAGCTGATCGTTTCCTTCTGCTCAACTCTGGAGCTAAGTCGTTCATCATATTGATTTCCTGACGTAGACCGACATAACTGGAGCATGGAGCATATTTCAGAGATGTTCGTTCCATTGAGCGTGAATATGGTATACGAAACCAATTCGTTGCTTATAAACATCGTTTTTATGAGATTTAGTCGAAGACCAATCTTTCAACAGTGTCAAAGTCGTCAAGCATACGTTCTGCTTGGCCAATGTTTGGCGTAATAAGGACGATGTTATCAGCAAAGCGAAGATGATGTAACTGCCGACCATCAATTTTCACTCCCATATTATCCCATGCCATTTTAGAATAATAGAATAAAGAACCTTCCAAAACAGCCGCAAGCCTCACTGATACAATAGGAATACCACCGAAGTCGTGTAGTGGACAAAATCTGCTTTTATGCAGTTACACTTAGCTGTTCGAATCCTGTCGTGTAGGAATATACGTGAACTTATACCTTTATGATCTTCAAGTATTAAAATTTACTAAAACAGATGGAGATACGCCCGTTCACGTTCGTTTTAAAAAGTTGAATTATTATATCTGGCCCGCATGCATTGATATAAGTGCGATAATGTGATGAATTGCCATCAGATACTACTAGTAAACGTTTGCATGCGATATCACATACTTCATTTCACTACTAAGTAAATATCCTATTTAGACGAGAAACGTTATTGAGCTCGAATATCAACCGGATAACTCGACACTAATTCTGCAAGCCATCGTCGTTGTAGTTTCGATCGCTTTGATGATGTTGGTCGGCATATGGGCAACATGCCATCATTGTGATTATTCAGATGATCTGCAGAAAGTCTGAAAATCGCTCACTCTTTGACCTGTGCCCTCTTCACACTCGTTTCCATCCATTTTCCTCATTTTACTCATTATTTTTGTCGTCACCTTTTGTAAAAATACATTGTTTGAAAGGCAACTGTGACTGCTTTTCTCTATTAGACTAGACTATTCGCTACTGTATTTTCTATAAAACTATTTCAACGATGCTGTAATTTCACGCGTGTTGCTGAGATATAAATATCTGGGTCGTGGAATGAATTCTTTTTCTCACATAGTCAATGTTCTAAATAATAAATGACCTCCTATTTCTTCTTCTTTAACAATCACCTTAAGAACCCTTTCAAAGCGAAAGAAAGAAAAGAGAAGGGCGTCAATGGTGCAGTGGGCAACACATGAGCCTCCAGAAAGCGTTGTCGTGAGTTCGAATCTGGACTGGGGTCAGAGTTTTTTAAGTAACTCAACATCATTGTAGCTTTTTTCACATAATATCCTGCTATGGAAAAAATAATAGGTAGTAATTCTCAGGATCGACTTTCACTTAACCTCGGCATTGGAATATGAATGCGTGGTTTTCTTGTTCAGCAATCGCGAGGTTTTTAAACAGCATACATTTACTTGCATAGAAAAACACAATACAATACAACACTGGCTGACGTTTCGGCAGTATCGCCTTCTTCAGAGCCTGGAAGGGTATACTGATATACAATCTACTAGGCCAAACGCTTCAATAACACAAAAAGGCGGAAAACTACGGTAATTACATGATCAACAGCTACTCGAAAAACCCACCGCTTTTTCGTGACTTCCAATGAGGAAGTTTAGAACAGCTGATTATAGTCGCATGTGGTTGACGACTCTAGGTACGACGAATAGGTAGTAAATAAAAAAGTGGCACAATGGAAGAGCATTCCGTAAGCTGGTGTGGAAATAGACCAGTAATGAATATTTTTTTAAAAAACGAAGAAAGAACGGTAGAATGCATGACAGAAGTAAAACATTCTCATCGCCTACCTTGCTTAAGAATTTCATGGATCAATTAATGCTCCTAAAGCCAATAATACTACTAGTTACGAAAATAATAGTACTAGGATGATATATCACATGCACTACCCTGCTGTGAAAAATACTAATAGGCAGGAAGTCAAAAAGTTTCGCTGTGATTTCAACTAAAGCCACAGTTTAACTGAATTCGTTGCCGATTTGGGCTCCCCAGATGAATCCCGTTGACGGGTGATTGCTGATGGCAGTGATAAACAGAAAACTAGTGGAGAAACAGGCGAAACGAAGGACCCGAATAGCGTGGTGGTGAACGCGTGAGCCCCCGGAAAATGTAATAGCGCGTTCGTCCCCCACCGCAAACATCGGAGGTCCGGAGTCTTGGAAATATCTCAGCACCATTGTTGCTGTATCCTATACATTACCCTGCCGTGAAAAATAGTAATAGGTAACTAATCAAAAAGTTAACATAAGTACTGATATTAACAATTTTTTCCACGTAATTTTTATCGAGATGATCAGATATTATATGTTGGTCGATTTCTTGCGGCTTACTGAAATCATCGTTGAAGTGTTGATTATTACATTCATCATTTACTTCGTATTTTTGTTGAGCAAACGCAAGGTGTTACTATTCTTTGTTCACGATTAAGCTGACGTTTCGGCGGATTTCGCCTTCCTCAGAGCCTGGAAAGGTCAAGTTGACAGTAATCCACTCGGCCAGACGCCTCTATAACCAAACAAAGAAACTCAAAACCAAGATTTCAATCACTTTGAACACAGCTTTGCACACTCACCGCTTTCTATGAGGTTTCCACTAAGTATGTCACGTAGAGACCAACCGCACAGAAATCACATGGAAGTATAATGTGCCCCTCATATCAGAAAAACAGTTTTATATACTGCCCTATATCACGCGTGATAATGAGGCATTCTTCCCTGCGGTTCATTTTCGGATTTCTGGAATTAATCCAGAGTGCCTCGAGAGTTTTTCGCGCCTGTGTTCTTGATTCGCGTGCGAGGATCGTGACACATACTTCAAAGTCGTCCCCGTTATGTCTCTGGGTCCTATGCGTGCCTAGCGGGGTATTTGGTCTATTTTTGCTGGCTAGGTGTTCTTTCATGCGGACACAGAGGGGTCTACCCGTTTCGCCAATGTATTCGTCACCACACGTCTTACAGGAGATCAGATAAACTATACCCGAGCTCATGCAATCACCGTCTCTACCACTATGGCAAATTATGCAATTTTGAGTTGCACACAGACGGTCATATAGGCGGTTACGAACTAGCTGGCGCTTAAGATTACTGGGTGGTATTTCAACTACGCTCACCGAAATCTCTAAGCCCGCCCTTCTTAAGCAGCGTTTTACAGCTGTACTTATATCATTTGAAATTAAGGGTAGGATAAACGGGACCCTTCTATCGGTAGAGTTGTCGTTTGAAGGCCTACGATTTCCTCTACACCTATCCTGAGCTACAGTTTCGTAGCCATTAGAAATGGCTATTTGCCGTGCCAAGTTCTGGGACTCCTCTCTCTGCTCTCTTCCCGTGCACACGTTGGTTGCTGTTCGAAACATGTTTCTTATAAGCGCCCTTTTCGTGTGAGAGGGGTGAGAGGAGAGGTAATGAACCAAGATGTTTTTACTACTTGGCTTTCGGTACCACTTTGTAATGTAGCCATTTTCTGATAGGTGAATTTGTACGTTCGAAAATGGAAGCCATTTTTCTTTCGGCTTTTCTCGGGTGAACTTGATATACTCTGACTGTGCGTTTAACAATTCGAAACATTTGTCCACTTCCTCTTGTGTTGAGCAAAAGACAAAGCAGTCGTCTACATACCTACAGTAGAGTAGCGGCCCGAGATCAGTCACCGGTACTTCCACCTTGGACATAAATGCAATGGCAAGGCTTGGAGCCAGTCGTTGTCCCATTGCCAACCCTCTTCTTTGAGCGTAGTACTTTCCAGACCATCTGAAGATTGAGCAGCTCAAGCATTCTTTTAAGGGTGCCATTAGGTGCTCTATCCTGAAGCCATACATGTTTATTTCTTTTTCGTGTTGTATAAGAAACTCGCGGATGGTTTGCATAGCGGAGTCATTCGACACGTTTGTATAAAGGGCGGTGACGTCGAAGGACTCCATCACGCACGCGCTGTCGGGTTGCGCAGTACATCATTTACATTCATCATACATTTTTACATAGTATTCATCATTAATCAACAACTTTTCCAAATGTCCCGATCATTATTAATCTTTTTCTCCCTTCGAAGGTTCTTACTACTTCTTACTAGAAAAAAAAATTCCCGTGTTCCCATTTCATGTCCAATCATGTACTTATTGTGTTCAATGATTTCTATATAACATTGTACAAAACACAACTGAATACCATGCACAAATCATAAAACAGAATTAAAACAGCAGAAATGCATCCAAAAATCTAGGGTTGTTACGGTAGTTTCTCTCAAATATGTTAAATTTACATTCTGACAACATCAAAAAGTTTCAAACAAACTGACGATGATTGTATGAAATTTACGGAGAAAAAATGTAGTAAAGTAGTAATGGATTATTTCTGAAGTCTTCGGAACTTCTACTATAATGTTCTTTTCGAAAAATGCCTTCTGCTCTAGTAGTTAAATATTTCATCTTTTTAAAGGGATAAAAAGGATAAAGCTCGGCGTTAATCAATCCTTGAGAGATGCGCCATGCATTCGACTTAACTAAGCACCGCTTGGAGATGATTAAATGCATATTTGGCCTTTACAATGACTCGCGGTAGCCTACCGATATATCGAGCCAGTGCTGCTGTTCTTCAAGTCTGTTACCAATTTGAAGACCCTGGAAGCATGGGAGGCATGGCTGGTTATGGGGGCGGGGATGAATTCAACGTGTGTGTTGCAGGGCGCCTCCGACCACTTCGCCACATGCTCATCCTTCATCTGCTTAATACATGCTAAATTACAGTTCCTCATTTTCATTGAATCTCTTAGAATCTCGAAAGCGCAAAAATATTGTATGCGAGGACATATTTACAATTATAATAGTTTAAGAATTTTGAAGAATCAGCTAAGTTATCAATGAAAACCATGGACACTTTAAGATAATTATTTTCTATATTTCATTCTTACAAGTTCATTTGAATGCAGTGAGATATCCGTCTCCGTTTATTGTTTTAAGAAATAGATTTGAAAAAATTCTTTATTGTCCATCTTCCTCTAATCTTCTTCTTAGAAATTTCATCCTGCAGAAAATTACCTCCACCCACCTTGGCCTGGTCTGCACGTGTTACTAGATGTCGAGCATAGACGAATAATGTTTGAACAGTGCCTTTTTAGATGGAAAGTTCGACATTTTCAATCAGATTTTTAACTAAAAATACAGCTAAGCAACGTTAGAATCCAAATGCGTTACCCATGGGTAATTTCTTCCCAAGAACAGTTTTAGAAAAAGTGGCTTGGAATTTAAAATAACCCGCAATTTTCTTTGTAATCCTAGAAGAAACGAAGGCCACAAAACAACTTTGCGGTGCAGTAGAGAGAAATGGAGATTTTGGTGGTTCCATTTCGAGTTCTCTGATTATTAACGGGACTATCAAGTGATATTAATTGACTAAACGATTTTCTTCATTTCTTCAATGGAAAATAATTGAAGAGCCTACCAATAGAAATCAAACACGTCACGTTGTCCCTCCCTGACCCACGAAGGCAGGTGAATACCTACGATATCTGTCAGTGCTTCAGCAGTGCCATTCCAGGATTCCGAGAACAGTCAAGTCCATCAGTACTCAACTATCCAGATTGGTAAAGAAGACAAATTTCCCAAGTGGGAACCGAACGTACATGTAAGCCGGAAAACTTCCGTGGATGATGGATACGCAACTATGGAGCGAATGAAATAAGCACTGGGATTTCCCCAATAAGTGAACTAGGGCCGTATAAATAAAAATAAAAGTGGAGAAATTACACCGGCTCCTTTGTACTTAGAAAATGGTCCAGCACCAAAAATTGGCTTCGTGGATTCCTCT